TGGGGCGAGCTGGGCGAGGGGCGGGACCTCCTGGGCAGAAAACCATGCCTCGAAGCCCTCCCGGGCAGGCTCTGAGCCGGTCGGTGTGCACGCTGCCCCCAGGTCATCCGCCGGCTGGAGAACAACATCGAGAAGACCACGATCAAGATTACCACGAGCCAGAACATCCGCTTGCTGTATGCCAACCTCCTGGATTACCTGAAGAGAGTGAGCGGTGCCCGCCCACCCAGGCCCAGGGGCCACAATGGGGGGGGTTCTCAGGGCTGGGGGCTCTGTGGGGCCACCCCTCCTCCTGGCAGAGCGGCAGTGCAGGGCAGGAAGTACCGGGAAACAGTCTTCATTAAAGAGCTGTTTCTGCTACAGGGAAAAGCATGCCAGGGGCAGCTCGGAGCCCTTGGGACTTTGTTGCTTGTATTAAACGACTTAGTAGCGTTTTTATTTTGCCGTCCTTTTTTCATTGCCTGGGCCTCTGAGGTTCAGAGGTGGACCCTGCAGCCACAGAAGTCCCCTCACATGTCGCAGGTGGGCACCGCCCTCCCCTGTGATGGTTGTCCTGGCCGGTGGATATGGGTGCTGCCCTGCAGAAGCGGGCGACCCTTTCCCAGAGGCTGAGGACGAAGCCAGGGCGCTGAGAGCAGCAGACCGGGCAGGAAGAGGGGGTGTGGGCAGAGATCATGGGCAGGTGGGGAGCGCAGGGGCAGATACCCTCAGCCCAGGAAGGCAGAGGGAGCCCTGGACAGCTGTGTGGGAGGTGCCCCAAGGACAGGTGGCGTAGGAGGGTGGTGGGTGGCAGGCCCTGTGGCTCAGGCCAACTCAGTGCCTCTCAGCTGGGGAGTCTTGCCCTCCTTGCCACCCCTATGCTGGATGCCCACCTGGAGGCCCGGCCCACCCCTGCACCTCTGCACAGCCCCGACTTGCCTGGTGCCTTCCCCCACCTGGCTGTGCCCTTTTAGAGCCTACACCCCTAAATTCCTGTAATCACCCGTATTTTTAGAAAATGGCTAAGACTGGGACAAGCAAATGGTGTAATGGCTATGTCGCTGGACTCCCATGTAATCAACTGCGGTTCGAGTCCTGGACCCGGTGACTTAAACTCATGCCGGGTGCATATGTGTGCATACTCAAGATCCCAAGAGGAGAATGGAAGAGAAGGGATTGCAGTTTGGCCATCCCCCCTAGGGGGTGATTTCTCGCTTTCTGTCTCTCTGTCTTTCTGTCTTTCTGCCAAGCGCATGCACCCTATAACAAAAACCTCTCACAAAGAAAAAAGAAAAAAAAAAAAAAAAAACAATGGCTAAGATTCTATATTAGGTGCCAGAGCAGAGAAGCTGTGACCTGGGCAGCCAGTGGGGGAGTGGGGGTGGCCAGAGGAATTTCCAATG